GCCTAAGATAACTACCCGGATGAGTCCGTGTCATTTAGTGGAACTTAATCAAATTCTAATCTTGACTGTCAATGAATACATTCATATCTATAAACTTACATTAAAATTCAAGTGTCTGCTTGTCACGCCGCTGTTTTGAACAGTTTGGTGCTGTTTTGTGAATCAGTAATACTTAAGTTAATATATGCTACGTTAACCAGCCAGTTTAGTTTCTGTCAGCTTTGTGTTTTTGACTGTTTGTCACCATCTTGTGGCTGAATAATGCATAATAACAAAAGTTAGTGTATACTCTCGCTGTGCTTTTGTCAGCTTTGTGTTTAATTAAAGAATTAATAGGTTATTACGGCCAAAACAATAAGTGCTTTTCCACTATTGTGCTGAACCGTTCTTTATGCTGAACCATGCCAAACCGGGCCAGACAGCACAGATACGGTTTCATTTTCCACTGTCGTGCTGCATTAGAGCTCTTTATACAAAACACATCAGTAATGGCCTCGGTAACTCGATGTAAACAGCTCTTTTTGTTTATTTAAATTCAAATAAAAGCCAAAACTATTTTTTTCATGCTCATGTGGAAAAGCTAAAGCATAAGCATGACTGAACACTGTTATGCCACTCTCTAGTATAGAGCAGGCTAAATATAGCTACGATTGAAGTCACAGCACCCGTGTTTATTTAGAGGTCAGAGGCGGCTCTGGGCAACTTTTATTTGGAGGGAAAATGACCAAACTCTGACGTGATTATTGAAAACGACTGGAGGGGAAATAAATAGTATATTTCAAATCTCTACATTACAGAAAAATAAACGATGATAATGCAACAATAATAGTATATCTGTATTAGTGGCATGGCGGAAATAAATGTGAGTCTGCACTTTCACTAATAGAAAATACAGCTCTTAAATTATTACATAACGATCAATTAAATCTGACTGCGGTTTTATATCAAAAGTTGATAATGATATCAAATATAATACAATTTTTGTCTTCATAACGAGCTATAGATGAGTTCCTGCTTGTTTACTAAAAATATTTAGCGTAGCTACATCACCCAGTACATAATAAAGATCACAGAGAACAAAAACAAAACACAGAAACGTGTTACATGGCCCCATAAATGTCCAACTTATATTTAACTGAATGGTATACATGCCTATAGCTCAAATGATAGAAAATGTTCTTTTATTTTTTTTATAAAACATTTGTCAAAAGGTATTGATATTTTGAGTTAAAGTACTACCGGCATTTAAGAATCCATATTTATTTAATATATTCATTCATTTGACTTGTTTATTGGTTCAAATATAGGCTATAATTTAAATCATACCACAGTAGCTTGGCGTTCAAGCAAAGTCCAAAAAATTCAAGATAAATTTGACTTTCTACGTTGACTGCTGACATCACAACACACCGTAATCATTCTTCAGGTGGTGTTTGTTCAAAGAGTCTGCAAGTTCCTGTGCCATGGATATAGGATGTTGTTGTGGATTGTGGACATCGAAAATGTTAAGCGTGTCTTTATACGATGCGCAGCAGGAAAGAAATCTTTCAGCAGTCGTTGGTTAAGTTTTCTTTACCAGAGCGTGTTTTTGTGCTACCAAATTAGGGCTGCACGATTAATCGAAAAAAGATTACCATCTCGATTCGACCCTACACGCGAACCTAATTCAGCTTTTTCTACGATTCAGCCAATTATATTTTCAAGATCAGGAGAGAAGAAAAGGTGGCTGCAGAAGTCTTCACAGCAACATTGACACCTTCAAATAGTGTTAAAAGTGTTACCTACTGTATTTATGAAGTATAATTCACACAAAATGTCATTTCTGTCTTCATGTAATAATGTATTCATGGTCGCGAAATCGCACTGTTTGTTTACTGCCGAAAATGCGCACGCGCACGCAAATGACACTTACTTTAGTGAACACAACCTGCATATGCTGTGAAAGACAGGTAATGAAGTTGTAAATAACGTTCAGTTTGTTGCACAGAGCTATCGTTTGAGGGCCGAGCAGGTGTGTGTGTGTGTGTGTGTGTGTGTGTGTGTGTGTGTGTGTGTGTGCGTGCGTGTTTTTCTCACAGTGACAACAGCCATGAGACGCACTAGGAAGGGAAAGGGAAACCTGTGCGCACATCATTTAAATGATCATATCGCATTTTAGAGTTATGATTACAACAAGCATTTGATATGGTTTTTCTTTCATAGCGGAAACAGAGTTGTGCATGAAAATAAATGTTTACTGTCTCAGTATAACAACCCTAGCCTATATATAATGGTCTAATAATGTTGTCAATGACAGATGACAAGCACATGTCTAAAATATAATAATTCAATTTTAAAATTATGAATAGTTGTATTCCGATGTCTTATGTTTACTGTGAATTAACAAACAGGACATACTGAAAGTCTGTTCAAGTCTGCCACAATACAAAATTGTGCATTTTAAGCAACAGTAGAGCTACACATAGGCCTAATATTATTATTGTTGTTTACCATATGTTTGAGAAATAACAATAATAATAGGCTAATCATATTAACCTTTATTTTACATTCACAGAATCGTGATCTTGATAAAGTAAAATAAAAAATCGTGATTCACATTTTTGCCAGAATCGTGCAGCCCTATACCAATAAACTCACGCTTAGTCAGGCGAAATAAAGGTCTCATTGCCTAGATAGAAGGCAATCAAATTAATCAAGTTCTAGCAACAAATAAAACAATAGGTTATTTTAGATGACAGGTTAGTAAACATACCATACACGGTTAACTATATTCAAGTCAATGAAATAAAAACGTTAATAAATAAAGTATGTTCTTAAGAATGTGGTGGGCCAGTCATTCTCTGTCAGAGACTGCTCTATGGTTATAAAACCCTTTTCAATCTGTAGTGTTTAGATCAGTATAATTTTTTTAAATAATAAATGTGTAGTTTATTCTGGATGAATGTTGTCTAACCATGCTGAGAACAGTTTGTAATCGTGCTGCGCTGTTCCAGGCTCAGTGGAGAAACAACTGTACCCGTATCCTAGTGTTCTTAAAACACTTTGGCATGATGGTGGAAAAGCGGCCAATGTTTTGTCTTGTTTTGTGGCAAGTAGCCATCTAATAAGTGGGATTCAAATACATCCAGGATGGTTGTTTGTAAAGAATACAGCCCTTCAGTCTTATATTATTCGGGCGGATGATTAGCCTGTCATGCTTTATTCTGTGATAACTCTTGGATGTACTTTATCCCTAACACAAGGCACTCATCGAAATGCTGAAAACCCTATCAGATCCATTACTGGGTATTATTACAAGGCTTGTTTATGATTTAAGAAGAAATATTGTAATCAAGGTTGCCATATATGATTTTTTACCCAAACTTCTGTCATTGATCATGTTGCCCTCATCTTGTTGCAAGACCTTGTAGAACTGAGTCTTGATGTCCAGACGTCAAACATATACTCAAAACAGTCCATGTGTCTCTAGTGGTGGAATCATAATGTCATGAAGCTACAAATGTTTGTGCTTTGTTCAACTGTTGTTACTTAGAATCCGTAGAAATTGAGCATGGCATGCATACAGAGCACAGCACTGCACTCTTGGAAATGTGCGCCTCATGTTACAGCAAAGAAACAGTTGAACAAAGTTATTAGATTTTTTTTCTTGTGCTAGATTTTTAACATGATTGAACCATTGAAGGCACATGGATTGTTTTAAGAAAGTTTTGGTTCCTTTCTGGATTTGAGCTCTCACAATTCATTTATTATATTTTAGTTTTCCATCTGAACATGTCTCTCGTTTAAAATTGACAGGGAGGTGAGGTGATAGAATTGTCATTTTTGTGTGAACTAACCCTTTAATAGCAAAAAAAAAGGTTTATATAGTAGGAGTTTGTATAAATGGCTTTTGTATGCGTATATTTAAATGATTTTATTTTTCTGATTCAGGAATACGTTCATGTACGGAAGTCACCTGACCAAAGAGGAAATAGCCTTTTCTGACCCGACGCCACAAGGGAAGCTGTTTGCTACAAAGTACTGCCAAACACCAACATTTCTGGTGTACAACTTCATCAGCTAAAGAAAAGAATCCAGTCTTAGTTTGTTTGACTGCATTTATTAATGCATGTGAGAGTTTTTAAATAGAGAAAGCAGTGTTAGGTGTTTAAGTCAAGTTCAGTTTAATCAATGTTCCAGAGAAAATCAGTTTTTACTGTGAAGTTTTACTTGTTGAGACTGATGTTTTACCTTGAGTTCATGTTTCAGGCAGAGTTTTACTTCAGCACGATTATTGAATCAGTTCATTATGAGCTAGCAGGTCCTCAAGGTCTCTGTTTGGAAAACCAGGCTGCTGTGATTAATTACATTTGTAAAGTGAACACTTTTCGTTAAACTGCCCTTATAGACTGTATATATTTTAAAATAAATGTTCTTGCTCACTTTGCTTGTTGCATTTTCTTTGAATGGATACATGAAAAAGTTGGTGCATGAAATATTCTACAATGTATTAGACATTTTCCTATAGTCCAGATCAGCAATATTTCTCATTAGTTTGCATAATTTACAGATGATTTCTTTTGTCTTTGTTTTTTTAATTGGTTTTTGAAAATCCCCAAAATGCTAAATGGTTAATGAATGATCTTTACTATATACGTCTATGTAAATGTATAACTTTGTCTGGAATACTTCATTCTTCATGGTCAGACATCACAACATTCCAAAGTATATTATTTCTAGATATGGTAGTATTAGCAACTTCACCGGTAGAGCATGCCTGTCATCCCGCTGTTCTTGACTATATGGCGGCATCTTGTGAGTGAATAATACAAGTAGCCTGCGCAGTCGTCAGCAAGACGAAGAAACCGCTAGATGTACATTTCTTGCTCTTTGCTAACATTTGGAAATGTTTTATTACATAATATTACTTAACATGTAGGAAATGTATATATTTTACTGTCTTCATACAGTAGATCAATATTTAAACTGCAATCTGTGCAACTAAACAATCTTAAGCAAGCTGAAGTTCACAGACAGTTTATTTCAAATTTGACTGCAGTTACAGTATGATCGAGAGCATGTCTGAAATCAGCAGAGTACATAAGACCTTATGCAACATGACTCATTTTAAACAGAAACATATTTACAACGTGACAAAGATCTCAAACAGTAAAATCCCTAGAGGTAAACATACAGCAAGGGAACCAAAAATAAATCAAATTCTGAGTTTCTCTCAATTTCTTAGTAAAAGTAGGGTTCAGGAAAATGTTAATATTTGTTTTATTCAATAAAAGATCTGATAACATTTCTTCCAGGTGTTTTTCCTTCCACCCCCCCCCCCCCCCACAAAAAAAAAAAAAACAGTCCGAATAACAATTATTATGACTTGATTTGAATGAAAATCAGGGTTATTCCAGCATATATTGCTTTTTTAACCATTCTGAAGTTAAAAATGGCCATTAGAGTATGAAAACATGGCACCTTTTCAATTATTTTTTGTAAAAAGATCCTCTAAATGTCATCAGTTCACAGCATGAAATAAAACAAAAATGATGTTCTTTTCCTCAAACACACAACTCAGACTCGGAGAAACAGAATTTTCAGCATTCGTCGTTGACAGGAATGCAACTGAGCATTTAATCGATTACAATTACCTCAGTGTTTTGCTTGGAAAGCTGGCTGTTTGACTCCAGCACCTGCACAATGTGAGCTGCTGAGGGTCTTTTCTGAGGGTCCTCCTCTGTGCAGAGACAGAAGAGCTCCACCATCCTCTGATAAGAGCCTCCCAGAGTCACTGCGTCCAGAGCCGGTCGAGACCCCAGCCGCTCATAATATGCATCTTCATCAAAATCCTCCTCAAATGACTCGTCTATTTAAAAAGAAGAGAGAGACATGTAACCCTGTGTGCTGTTGGGGATGTTTTCATCCACTCTAAGCTGATTTTGAGTCTTAATTTGGTCACAACTTGCTCTGTTTCAGCAAATAGAATGACTTTTGGTGACAAATCTTGGGACTAATGCTTTGAAAATGTTCAAAAAGTCAACAAGTCGGGGCAAATTAGCTACCCTTTCGTTATGTTGGTGATTGTTTTTTGCCCCTTTGACTTCCATTATAATCAGATTTTTTGATTGCAAAGCCATCACAGCATATTATCAGTCTTAATTGTTGGTGGTATTTTCTGTTGGGAAGAGCTAAAATTGGTAATTTCTACTGTGGATCATCAGTTGCAGAGCAAAAACAGCTCAGTTTCTGACTTAATTATATAAAGTATAGTGTTTGTGTTTTTGTATGTAGTGCAGTGAACATGTCAACCTGGATAAATGTATATAAATAGTTATATAGACATGTATTTTGACGGAAAAGGGCATCAGCTGGTGGTGAATTTTGAGAAGAAACGTGACAACTGCTGGAGTGTGCAGGATGAGTGTCATGCTGAGAAATATGTGGGGTCACCATTAATTGAAGCTGCTGGAGGTTATTTGTAAAACACTGACACACATATAGTTATATCTGTGTATAAAACTATAAAGAATGGACAGAACAGACAATTTAGATCGTCCTGGGAAGATACTAGAGACAGGTCTGCTTATAGATGTCTGCTTTTTTGGAGAATATTTCAATAAAATAGATTCTTCTGATAATCAGAACCTCCAGACTGAGTTTGATTCATTCTTGAAACAGCTGGAAACCACAACAGTGTGTGTGCGTGTGTGCATGTGAGAGACCTTTGTCCACTTACCACGATATGTCTGAGAAAATAAAAAAACAAGCAGCTCAGGTCTCAGAATAAAGTAAACATTGTGAGTGTATTTATGCATGCACAATGTAATTTGTGGTTTTTACTCCACAGAACTCGTATAACATATAAAAGCCAGAAACCTTTTTTTACCCATGACTATCAAAAAGGTTAATGGTACGAACTGATGATCAACGATACAAATAAAAGGTTTCACCTCTTCTCAACAGGGATAAACAACAACAATCAAGAATAGATGACTAATATCATAGCTCTGCAATGCCAAAAATCTGATTATGATGGAAGTCAATGGGGCAAAAATAGCCACGAACATAACGAAAGAGTAGTCAATTTGAACAATATACAAGGGTTAAAGATCAGTAAAAGCATACTGAGGCTAAGCACTAGATGAGAGATTAGAAACAGTAAGTTTACCATCATCATCTTCATCACCCTCAGTGTCCAGCATCTCCAGGTGAGGAACAGAAAGCGTCATCATTTCCCACAGTGTGAGTCCATAGGCAAAGATATCAGCTTTATCTGTGATTACTCCATCCTCCAAAGCTTCTTTGGGCTTCCACGGCTCCGTCCCAATGTAATGAGCCTTTGGATCACTCACTGAAGAAAGATAGCTTAACTTGATCACTCAAAACAGGTGGAAGAGGCAAAAAATGCAAAGAAAAGAAAACTCTTTTATAACCCCGTCCCCTAAATAGAAATAAATCTGTGGAATAAATTACTTTTTATAAATAAGCTTTATTTAATGTTAACTAATAATATTACTATTATACTATCATTTTTTGTTAATTAAGTAATAAATTAAATGTTAAAGCACTAAAATATATATTTTTAAAGTAATTTAAAAATATATATTTAATATTATAAGAAATATTTACATAAAAAGAATAGCTTTAGATTGAAAAAATATAATGTACACACACAAACACAAGAAATAGAAAACATTAAATGATCAAAGGAAGGACGTTGAAATGTTTTCAACTTTTCATCCCTGGCCTGTTTTTTTTATATTTGTGAACTATAAAATAAATGCATATCATCTTTCACTGACTATTATTTAATTTGCCTTTTGCTAATGTTAAATTAAATTTTAAATGTTTTAGGAATTTTAAATCAAAAAGATTAAATAATAAGGGCTGAACAATACATCACTTGAGCATCGATATCGCAATCTGTGAATCTGCAATAGTCACATTGCAGGATTAGACTATTTATTAAAGATATTAAACATTATATATTAGATAAAGATATTATTAAATTGTATATATCTTTTATACAATAATAACCATGTTATTTTACATTTGATTGATCAATTTCTGCACATAAATACTGTTAGACTCCCTGGAAAACCATAAAGCACTGATTATTTATTTATTTTTGCTTGTAATTTTTTATGATGTATGCAGATGCACTGCATAGAAAAAGACTCAATCATCCCAGCCGATCAAAATTAATGAAACATTTCCAAACTAAGCTTTTTAAGTCATCAAGTAAAATTATAAATTACATCGCAGTAAAACTAAATATGCAGCCCTAATTAAAATAGTAAGATTTAAAAATAATACACAATACCAACAAAAAATATCTTTCATTATATAGGGATATTTTATTTAATATGAAATAAATATTAAAATAAAATAAAAAAATTATTATATATATTTTTTTAAATTGAAAAATCTTTTCATACCTTGCATGTTTTCATCCAGTGGCAGTGAAACACCAACATCACAGATTTTGATGCTCTCAAAATCGCCCTTGATGACAACATTGCATGATTTCATGTCTCCATGCAGAAGCTTTTTCTCATTGTGCAAGTACTAAAGAAAAAAAAAAACGAAATAAACAACACAAGATATATAAAAACAAACTCGTTTTATTTTAGCTAGTTGCAAGAAATGTTCTCATTTTAGCTTTCATTTGGTAATAAAATAACACTAAATGAAAACAAAATAAATACAAACAAAAGAAAAATACGTAAAAAAGACAAATACAAAGCAAAATTAAAATGGAAATATGTATAAAAAAATAAATAAAAAATAATTCACAATACTGCCTTAGTAGCAAATTTTCCAACCAAAGATGCTAATTAAATATATGCGCAAAACTATATTATCGCGAATAAAGCAGCGTTTCCATCTAACGAGTCAAAGTGAACAAAACCATCACTTCCTGAATATCTGGCGCCAAATATCAACAGTACAAACTGATTTTTTTACAGAACTCAGCTGCCCGTATCATCACCAGAACCCCTTCTTCTCATCACATCACCCCTGTCCTGCAGCAGCTTTATTGGTTACCTGTTCATTTTCGAATTGACTTTAAAATCTTGATGTTAACATTCAAAGCCATCCACAATCTCGCCCCCCCATATTTGTCTGCCCTCATCCACATTTCTGTTCCTTATCGCACCCTGCAATCTTCTTCCTCCCTCCACTTGTCTGTTCCCTCTTCTTGCCTTTCAACTATGGGCAACAGAGCATTTAGCCGCTCTGCTCCGTGGCTTTGGAACTCACTACCACTTGCCATCAGAAACATTGACTCCCTTACACTGTTCAAATCAAGACTCAAAACCCACTTATTTCAGATGGATTTTAATACTTAATTTTATTTGCACTATTGCTGTGTATATTATATTATTTCTCTTGTTGTTTTATTGCTCTTGTTGATTGTACGGTGTCCTTGAGTTGCTAGAAAGGCGCCTATAAATAAAATGCATTATTATTATTATTATTATTTGTTGCGTGAGACGTTGCGTGAATCTTTTCTTCATTTAATAAATGCCTCAGAAGGCAATCTTGACACGCAGTAAATGTGAAGTGGCGTTTGAAGACGTGAGACGCGGAGCACAGATTCTCTTGATTCTATAGACCATTAATAATGTAATAACACTATTACTGAGATGATTAAGGCATTTTAAAGTGACCAAAACAACGTGCATCTTTTCTTATTGAATAAAAAGTTTATCCTACTCAGATATGCACATGTGTTTTTACGTACAATTAAAAATTGATGCGCATCTTGGGGTTTCTATCAACTAGTTTTTTATGCGCATAACCAAAATGTGTAAAAAATAGGAGGATGGAAACATCGCTAATGACAAGCGTACCAGTAAACCGCGAGCGACATGAAGAGCCACTTTTTCAATAGTGTCCACTGGAAAGGCCTGCAGACCCTCCTCTCTCCTCTTCTCAATCAGGTCATTGAGAGACTGTTCTCCGCCAAACTCCATCGCTAGACACTTCGAGCCATCCTTCGCAGTGGTAAAAGCTCTGAAGCCTTAAAAACAACAACAAAATTAATTAAAAATGTCTTACTATGTTTCAATGTTTACCTAAATTTAGGTGCATTGTGTGCAAAGCAATCTGAGCTGCATGCAATAACCCCAAGCCTCACAGTGACGTCACTAGCTCCATTGAGTGCCTTGTATCTGACATTGCATATCACCTTGCATTATAAAGACTGCATCCAGATACTAATGGAAATTGGGTATGCACAATATATTATTTCAGTATCGATAGGGCAATGTATGAATCCCCAACAGTCACAAAAGCAGGATCTACAATGTCAAGTGGGAATAACAACTGACCAAACACTACAGTATACAATATTGTGGAGTTATTGCAACGTTTAACAATAACAGAGTGTAATAATGCATTTGTTTTTAAGGAGTGTGACTGTGTGAGCATTTTAAGATAGTTTAAAGCATTTGGGCTGAAGATTTGTAGTTTAAAGATTACTGTACTGATGCAATGTAATGTGTTTTTTATTTTTTGCCATGTCAGCAACCAAGGCTATTTTCATGGCAAGAACATTTCAATATTAAATAAATAATTCAACAAACAAATAAATACACAAATTAAATAAGATTTTTTTTGTTTTAATAAATGATAAGAATTCCAAAATCGTTTCTGGTGTCACTTTACCAAAAATGTCCTTAAGAGAGTTCATTTCATTAAAAAAGTCTTCTGGAATTATTAAGAGCAGGACAGTGTTTTACAGTAAGGGGAGTTTTACAGCACAAACATTGAGTGGGGTCTTCATCTTTAAGTAAAAAGGCGCGGGTTAATCTTGTATGCCCAATACAACTGGTAAAAATCACTTGAACAAATCGAGTATTAAAATTTCAGTTTGGATTTAATGTAATTTATTATTTTCCAATGCATCCCACTCATCTTCCCACTTATTTAAAATGTAAATGTTGATAAAAGGACTCAACTCTGATGGAGGAATTTGGCATTTGTTCACAACTTGCTTCAAAGCATCTGTAGCAGCTGCATCAGCTCGCTGATTACTGTACTGATTTATTTATACAGTCCATACAGACTATACAGTGTTATTTCACATTTGATAATTTCATTTCTGTACCTAAATACTGTGAGGTTTCCCAGAAAACCATAAAGCACTGTTTATTTCATTCTTATTTTTGCTCATTTTTGTTTATCTATGCTATACACATATATGCTCCCCAACAAAATCGCCCCAACCCAATGTCAAATTATGATTTTTATTCCAGTCATCCGGTGAAAATGTGTTCATATTACAATACATGTTGTGTGAAAACCATATAATGTAATGCAAGTTGTTCCCAGTATCATACAGCTCACATTGTAACATTTAAAGTGGATATTTACCAACAATATTGGGGTGCTTGAGGTCCTTCAAGATCTTGGCCTCCTCACAGAGACGCTTCTGATAAACACTCACTTGACCTTGAGCACACTTGCTGTTGATCTTCTTTATAGCCCATGGAGAATGAGTCTGTTTCCCCATCCTGACGAGAATATTGGTATAGTCTTATATTGAGGTAAAGTTGTTTTTTTATTCACACATTCAGACTTTTACCTTCTTAATAGAATTTCAGAAATATATTCTATAGGGGAATCATACTAGCAGCCAATGACTATCAAAGTACTACAGTCAATTAAATAGTGCTAATGTTGTTTTGTAGTCATAATTACATGCGATTTAAGCTTGATTATTCAAATTAGCATGGTAAACAATATAGGGACCGTGTCAGAAGTTGTCTTGTTGTGGTCATAACAGTATGTCATTATAATTAACCCTTGTGTACGGTTCAAATTGACTACCTTTTAGTTTTGTCCGTGGCTGTTTTTGCATTGACTTCCATTAGTCACATTTGTGTGCAAAAAAAGCTTATGGCTTTTAAATGGGGTTTTATTGTGTGAGGAATGTTTATTTTTTATTTTTATATTTTTTTGCAATGTAACTGATAATCAACAGTAAAAAAAAATAAAAATAAAAAAATCACAAATTTTAACTCTTACCAACAAAAACAGCCACAAACATAAAGAGAGTGTAGTACATTTACCCAGAGTGTAATGCTTTTGAAAAATTCCAAAATATTTTCACAAAATGAGTGCCAAAATATGATTTGTTGACAAAAATCATTCAATTGGCTGAAACAAACCAAACCATTGTGGACAAACCAAACCTCAATATCACCCCAGAGTGGATGAAAACGTTCAAAACAGCACACACTCGCTAACCTTTAACGTTATTTAACCTTTTAAAATTCTGTTTAACTTTTTTTTTTTTAACCAAAAGCCAGAATGTGCTAATATGAAACCAACTTTATCTCATTTAGATCTATCATGCATTTATTAAACACACAAACATGTAGTCATCAGTTGTAATGCATGTAACGTTACCTGTTCATGAGGTAAACATTGACTCCAGTCCCACAGCCGAGCTTCTTCATGAAGGGAGAGGCAGGAATGGTGACTGGGGTCCCACAAGCATTGACTGATAATATATACAACATATTTAAGACACTGCAGCTAATTAATGTAAATGGCAATGAGAAGATTGGTTCAATGTTTAAGTAAACAATAAACGACCATTACTAGATACTAACGTTATACACTATTATAGAGGTAAAGTTGGTTTTCTATTCGCACATTCGTTTATTTAGAGGTCTTTATATTGTTTACCATGTTACTTTGAATACTCGATCGGAATTAGCATCAAAGTATGACTTGAAAACAAAATTAACACTGTTTATTTGACTGTGAACAATGTTGTACTTTGACAGTCATTGGCTGCTAATATGATTTCGCTATTTAGTTTGCAAATACTAATTTTATGAAATTATATTATTAAAGGGAAAGTCCGAATGTGCGAATAGAAAACCAATTTTACCTATATCTGTTACCGAGTCTGTAAACGTTGTAATCATAGAAAAATACATGTAAATATCGCTCTACCTGGACTTTTCACTTTAGCAGGCTTGCAAGGTGTTTTAAAGGCACTCGGTGATTCTTTGCTGGCCTCCATTTGTCTAAAATGAAACAATAAAAGATCATCATCGTATTTTGTTTACATTGCCACGATTAGCAAGACAAAACCTTAAAGGTTACACAAGTTACACTAATGTAATCACGCTAATACACAACTGCAGAAACTACATATCAAAATATAATCGCAACATGAGACATTTAGATAATATAAACTATTTTAATTACATTTATGTAAACTCCGGATATGCCGAACAACGCGCCCGTATTTGAAATTAACCGGTTTTGTTTGACGTCAAACGTACGTAACGCTACAGTGGCCGTGGTGGGACAACAATGATTGCGTGCGTTTCGTTTGCTTTTCCCATCTTTTCTTTCTTGTAACAGAAGTACATTATTTAATACAAAATAGATAACTAAATACATGCACTTATTACTATTCAATAAGTAATCTTTATTTAGCACGGGCTGTTTGTCTTTTACCAAGTTATTTTTCAACAAAACTATAAATAATAAAAAAGATTGCATACGGATTAAACTAAATCCAACTAAAATTAAAATTATGAAAAAATAACACACAAATTCAGAATTGTCATAAAAGCACAATTAAATAGGCTAATATTGAAAAAGATGCCTTAAAAACAAGATGCCTGTTTCATTTTTTTTAGTTAGTTATGAGTAGTAAAGGTGAGAACACAGCACATTTAACCTAGACTTCTGAAATAATTATGGTAGAAACATCATACATTTTACATCCTTCCAACACTGCAGATTAGGTGGCATCAGGTAAGCATCTAACATGAAATCTTCAGTAGGCTATATGCCAAGGAAAGTGTCAAAAAGTTACCAGGTTGAATTAAGTGGGCAACTCTGCTTTCATTTATTTTGCGAGATTTTTTTAAAGCTTTTTTTTTTAGCTGGCCTATTGCCAATGTGCATGGAAGCCCGTTCTCGCCACTGAATTAAAAATTCTGAATTATAAAGAATTCTGAGTTATAAAGTCGTAATTCTGAGTTATAAAGTCGCAATTCTGAGTTATAAAGTCAGAATTCTTTAGGCAAATTACCATGTTCATAAATATTCAGGATGCGTGCGCAGCGAGGCTGCAGAAAAAAACGGGATCGCTAGCATTTACAGCGAGGGAATGACATCTGATGCGGTACAGAGTTTGTTGTTGTATTAGAGATAAGTTATATTGATTACATATTAAATATATTATGTACTAGGGTTGGGCATCTAAGCTATAATGCCGATCCGATACGCATCTCGATACAAAGAATACGATCCGATATATTAGCGATACATTTGTAACATATTGCGATGCAACACGATACGATTCACACCCATATCACGATACAATGCGATATTTCAGCACTAACTAATTAGATCAAGTTTATGAGATGATGTAAGAAAGGATGCTGTGCCATTGAATGAGTTTGATTATTTATTAACAAAGCAAAACCAAGACTTTTTTTAACAAACTGGCTTTTCTCTCAGAGCCATAGTGTCAGTTTACAGTAGAGGGCCATTTTACAACCCATAGCACATATTATTTAAGTATTTTCAAGATAAACAGAATGTATAAGTGCAATATATATTAAAAATATATATATATTTGCACTCTTTCAACATAAAGGTTTACCATTGCACAACAAGAATTGTGATTTAACCTTTCAACTATGAAAACAAGTTTTACAAAGATATATTGTGCCACTGAATATTCAAAACTTAAGCTCGTGAACTAGCAGTGTTATGCTGCTTTGAAACATCACTGTCACTGTAAACAACAGGCTAATAAAAATATAAATAAATACAAATTAACAGGAGGAGGTGTTTAAAACCTTTGTTCTCCGTGACACTAGGCTGAAAATCTTTGCAGATGAACAATGCAATAGCATTCGTTATTGCCGTAGAGCGCACAAAACTGTTGCGCATGGAAACAACTTGCAATGCTTTTCTCACCACTTTTGGAGCTGGTAGCTACAGTTGAAGCAGAGCGGGAAGCCGGGGATGCAGAAACACTGGAAGATGCTTCCACAACAATACCGAGGCGCCGCTTCAAGTGAGATATCAGATTAGTCGTACTGCCCGTGTATTTTACAGATGCGCGGCACATTTTGCAAATTGCATCTGTCCTAAAAAGTAGTCCATCTTTTTTGCAAAATCCATAATGTTGCCATACTTAGATTTAAAACTCAGTGGGGAATAAAATGTTTGTTTTGCTTCTCAAACTTTCACTAGCTTCATCCGCACACCTGATACACTGAGTTGTAGTGTAAGTGTACACATCCGCAAGTCCGTTGCTAAGCCATACTTCATGTAGGTCGATTAAATAATGCGCCAAAAACAGGTTGACAACACTTGCTAATAAATAAAAAAATACATTCTATATTAAAAATATAAGCTGTATCTTGGAAAAACCGATGCATCTCGCAAAAACCGATGCATCTCGATTTGCTTCCAAAATTTCATTCATCCTCTGCTGCTCTACCGATGCACTCGCACCGTGCACGCGCATGACCGTGTATCGATACATATCGGTTAATCTTCCCATCCCTATTATGTACATAATGCTTTCAGCGTATTATAACAGCTTGTCATCCAGTAATAAACAGTTATTCGACAAAATTAACATTAAAGTGAGCGGTGTTCATCTAACAGGTATATTTGCGATAGCACCCTCCCAATGGATATTGGATAAGATGAAATGACCAAGCATCCAACCCCAAATGTACAACTATCACACTGAAACTCCAGGTTGTTCTGTGTTCATGTCTAAGAAATAATGTTCCATGATTAACAGACTCAAAACTATGTAGTGCTAAAAACTGATGTTCTGCCTAGCCAAAGACAAGGAAAGAAGACAGAGCTGTACAAGACCTGGGTAATCATCAACAAGCATTCTGACAGCGAGCTGCACCTGTACGGCAGGGTATGTGAACTTAGATTTTTACGTTTCATTCTAAGCATTCAGATTCTGCAGTTTCATTCATTTTCTTGTCGGCTTAGTCCCTTCATTAATCCAGGGTCGCCACAGCGGAATAAATCGCCAATTTATCCAGCACGTTTTTACGCAGCGGATGCCCTTCCAGCCGCAACCCATCTCTGGGAAACATACACAAACACACACACACACACACACACACACTCATACACTACAGACAATTTAGCCTACCCAATTCACCTGTACCACATGTCTTTTGGACTGTGGGGGAAACCGGGGCACCCGGAGGAAACCCACGGGAACGCAGGGAGAATATGTAAACTCCACACAGAAATGCCAACTGAGCCGAGGATCGAACCAGCGACCTTCTTGCTGTGAGGCGATCGTGCTACCCACTGTGTCGCCCCAGTTCAATTCACCATATTGAACTGTTTTTGCTGAAATCATTGCTGCAATGAAAGTAAGGTGTATGATCCAGCATATCGTAAACCTACCTGATATGAAATGAGAACTGCAGAGTCGAGCATTTTTCATTAGGTCCTCACTCCATTCAGCTCCTTTTTAGCCAAAGTTGCAGTTGGGATTAAACCAACCCATTCTCACCCCGAAGGCGCCAAAATCTGAAGCATGGTCAAGGACCTTGCGCAGCAGTATGAGGACGCTGAAGGTGCCCCTTAGCATCACTATACCGATGCAAAAGGAATTCCATTGCTTTCAAGGGGTTGCCTTGAGGCGTCATATGGAGACGCTCAAGGCCTCGTATAATTACCAATAGATGTCAACGCAATTTTTTTTAAACCTGGTTTACGCCTATTATCGTAGTTTTTTTTTGTTTTGTTCATGAAAAGCGTCTGTAAACAGGGTCGAGACAACTGTAAATAAGAATATACTTCAGTCAACGTGACTTCCATTCAACAATACTTGGTAGATTAATGCTGCATAATGTTTTTTTATTTATTTTTTATTGGAGATTAGTCGATGTTGATAAATATGTTATCATTTACGTTATATTTAATGAATCAAATTATATTCGATTGCCCAGTTTAGGGTTATTATGCCTAATAAAACTGATTCATTCATTTTAATAATTAACTTATTTTACTTCAAAAATATTATATTTAAAGTACAAAGTTTAAAAATATATTTAGCTGATCTTTTTATTATTGAATTATTCATTGAAGTTGGGGGTCATTGTATGTCGCAATCTATTTTTTTTTACAGTCCATGGTACACAAGGTTCATTGCGGTTTTCCACTTGGTAAGTAAAAAGTAAACAAATAAAGACGATTTGTTGATTCAGATTAGGCGTTTGTGAACCTTTTTAAAAGCAAGGTAGCTATCTCCTGATTTAATGACTTGATATAAATAAAGTACTGTAAACTAGCAACGTTATCTAAACACATCAAGTTCATTTATTAACAAAAATATTTTTCCACATAGTCGTGCATAGCTCAGAACAATATAGCTATACATTTTAAGATGAGGTACAGTGTTACCAGATTGTTGTTTTCCATAAAAGTAATCGTCCAAAATTTATATAAATGATGCAATATGCAATAAATATTACCTCTAATAATACAGTTGTATTCATAACTGCATCAATATTTAAGCAAATCAAGTGTTTCTCAAAAGTTTAAAGGCTAACATTACATTGTAACTACAATTATTTTCCACGCCTTAAAAAAACAAAAAAGGCACACATAACAGAAATTCTGCCTGTCTGAGCACATTTTATTTATTTATTAACACAAAACTACAAAACTAACCAAAAACTGCTTAATCTACCACACACACACACACACACACACACACACACATATATATATATATATATATATATATATATATATATATATATATATATATATATATACATATATACATATACATACATACATATAGTTGAAGTCAGAATTATTAGCCCCCCTTTGAATGTTTTTTTCCTTTTTTAAATATTTCGAAAATGATGTTTAACAGAGCAAGGACATTTTTACAGTATGTCTGATAATATTTTTTTCTTCTGAAGAAAAGTCTTTTTTTAAAAAAAAAAAAAAAACATTTTAAGGTCAAAATTATTAGCCCCTTTAAATTATATATATTTTTTGATTGTCTACAGAACAAACCATCGTTATACAATAACTTGCCTATTACCCTAACCTGCATAGTTAACTCTTTAAATGTAACTTTAAGTAGTATAGAAGTGTCCTACTGTATATTTGCTAGTGGCACGATTAGTACAAGTGAATGGGTGAACAGTTTTGGACACTGCTAGTTTTTTCTAATTATTATTCCGTCATAAACGAATTCGTTGATTGAATTAATCACATTATTTACTCAGTAAGACATGACGCCATTTCATTCAATTCAGCGTTACATTACTTGTGTATTTTGAAGTAAATGGAGTCTTAAAGTAGTGTATATCTAGTAATCTGATATGACATACTCTGTAAAATATCTTGTTTCATGAGTATACAAGCGCTTTGCGGCAAAAACTGACATTTGAAGTGTAAAATAAATGCGAAAACAACTCTTACCTGTGAATGTATTTAAATCGACCCTGATTAAAACAACGAATCTGTGGTTCACCAAACGACCAGTAATGATTCACCAAACAGGAAATATTTACCAGTCAAACAAAGATTTTATGAAAATCCGTTTTATTTTGCTCCAAAAACACCCGCGAAGGACATAAACTCCTTACTATTGCATTTTTCAATTCAAAGAAAAACCGAGCAAATCTGACCAATCACGTATCAGCTGTAGAACGTTGGAACGCGTTCGAATTCTTGGCAGACACCCAGTACAATCCAACTTTCGCCATTGCTTTATTTGACGAGTAACTAGTGAGTTGTACAAAGTTTGCTTTGTATAATTAGCTTTTCTTATATCACGGTTTATTAAGGCTAATCCACCATGTTATTTACCGTACTCGGAGTAATTGCTCTCTTCCTGGGAGAAAGAAACAATTCCACCGTCTCAGGTCAAGATGAAAGATTCGACCGTCCGGAAGGATTGGTCACGGTATCCTCCGTGACTAACAGTGATGGTAAATATTGTTGCGTGTTATAAGAAGATGTAGCTCATTTTGTATTCTGGACACTGGGTAGGGCACCCTTATTTTACCTTACTGTAAATATAAATTACAAAATAAGGTTTTTGTTAATAATATAGGCCTAATGAGCACTAATAAAACAGGCCTGAAGAAAGCTATGGTGTAAACACAGGGGGTGTCAAACATATGACACACAAACATGTCTAATATGATGCCAACAGCAATATAAAATAATAGTTTTTGTTTTGTGTCTAGTAAAAATCAAAAATCAAATAACCCCACCCTCCCCCTAGCAGATTATTTAGCTTGTTTTACAGAAAATTCAGTTCATTTTGACCAATTTGACATATTTCTGAAAACAAGACAATATTTTTACTAGTCAAGAAAATGCTTCTTGATTTAATGTTTTGATATTTGGACTAGAAACAAGACAAAAACTAAGTAAAGTGTTTTTGCTTTGCATAAAGTTTTTCAATTATGCATTCGTAATCCGTAAAGACTAAATAATTTTCTCTGCTTTAAGATAGAAGGGTTAGTTCACCCAAAAATGCTAATTCTGTAATTAATTATTCACCCTCACGTCACTCCACAAACCCTTGAGACCCTCTTTCATCTTCTGAATACAAATGAAGAGGCTTTAGATGAACTCTGAGCGCTCTCTCCTCCTGTATATACAGCAAGGTTCCTGACTTGCTCAAAGTACATAAAAATACCACAAAACATTCTCAAGCAGACCAAATGCCTACAGTGGTTTACTCTGTATATTATCAAGCTACGAGAATACTTGTGTATAAACACATTTATCCAACAGTTTATTCTCTTCAGTGTTGGTATATTACATGTGTTCACAAACACTTTGCACTGATTAAACCCCTGAATGCCTGTGTATGGCTTCCTCTGTTTTTTGGAGGTTTTTGGTACTTTCTGGTCTCTGAATGGGTCTGGACCCTTCCTATCTATGGAGGAGCTCTCAGATTTCACCTAAAACATCTTAATTTGTGTTATGAATATGAACAGAAATAATGTCTACTGCCATACAAAATTAATAAATAAATATTACAACCCTCAATGTGATTTGAGTTTGACACCCCTGTTAGATCCCTTGTCTCTACTTGTAATTTGCTTGTAACTTGTAATTTTTTACCACTAAATCCTTTAGGAATATGTCCTAAAACACAATGCAGTGGTTTTAATGGACAACAAATGTTGATGTTTAATGTTTTAAGGGTATTTGTAGAGTAAAACATGAAATCTTTTCTCATAGGTTTTAGTTGTTTTTGCCAAGCTTACGGTTATTTTATTTATTGTTATATGATACAAAATATATCAGCTATAAAGTCATATTGACATGTATTTGTACAAAACAAATCATTAATTGCAAAGTAAATTTGATTATGAACAGTAATTGTGTGACATTTTTTATTTAATGACCAACAACTAATGTAGAAAGAAATTAACCTAAAAGTCACTTCATAATTGACAGCATTTGTTCATATCAATAATAAACACTGGATAAATATTATTCAAGTAAAACTAAAATCTGTTGTTTCGTATTATTCCTTCCTTTAGGTCGAGAAATCGGTGACTGGTGTAAAGATTCATCTTTGCATCTTGAGGAACAGATCAATGTTCAGATTGAGGAACCATCACTGAAGGAACCTGTTGATGGTCAGAGTGAAGAACAACCACCGGTAGAGCCCGACAGTGTTCCCGGTGAAGAACAACCACCGGTAGAGCCCGACAGTGTTCCCGGTGAAGAACAACCACTGGTAGAGCCCGACAGAGTTCCCGGTGAAGAACAACCACTGGTAGAGCCCGACAGTGTTCCCGGTGAAGAACAACCACTGGTAGAGCCCGACAGTGTTCCCGGTGAAGAACAACCACTGGTAGAGCCCGACAGTGTTCCCGGTGAAGAACAACCACTGGTAGAGCCCGACAGTGTTCCCGGTGAAGAACAACCACCGGTAGAGCCCGACAGTGTTCCCGGTGAAGAACAACCACTGGTAGAGCCTGACAGTGTTCACGGTGATGATCAACCCCTAGTAGAGCCTGTGGATGGTCACAGTGAGGACACAGAGAGCTTCTCTGCTGAGCCCGGCTGTAGTCATGACGACCCTCCAAATGTGGTCTCTGCTAAGCCCGGCTGTAAAGATGACGTCGCTCAAGGTGCAACCTGTCAGACAGAGGGCTCTGTTCCACCTCAGCCAGAAGAGCTGAAGGATCAAGACACACACATTATTGGTAAGTTTACTACCATGACAGCCCAGTCACCCAACACACATGCATATTTTAGTAGTGCTTTCATTATTTTTATGCTTTAAACTGGCTTTAATACACATTTTGTTCAGGGATAGCTGATAACTAAGATGGAATATATATAAAACTCAATCATAATCATATATATATAGGGAAGACAGAATAAAAAAGGTTTAGATGATGGGGTTAATTTTGCTGTGGTGACCCCTGATGGAGCAGGTAGTTTTACATGAAGACAGCACCGTCACTAATTCACACATTTTATTAACACTTACACCTGTTCTCAAGTCTTTACACTGGCTTCCAGTTACATTCAGAATAGATTTTCAAGTATTATTACTTGTGTATAAATCACTAAATGGCCTAGGATCTTAATACATTACAGATATGCTCACTGAATACAAACCTACTAGATTACTTAGATCTTATAAACTAGAAACTTTAAGAGTCTAGACAAAGCAGGTTGAATCGACTTTCAGCTTCTACGCCAGAAATGATCAGATGTGCTCCAACATTAGACACATTGAAAATATATCTATTTAGCTGTGCCTTTATTGAATGAGCACTGTGCTACGTTTGACAGATCGCACTACTGTGTCTCTCTTTTCCTTTTCATTCCTTTATAACTTGTTTTAACACATTTTAATCTGTTTTTAATCATTTTTATTACTTGTTTTTTATCTTCTTATACTTGTCTCTTTTATTGAGAGGGGTCTGGATACAGAACTGGTGCAATGCAATCTGGGCTGCATCCAATGCTTTTTAATGGGCTCATGTAACCCCACCCCTAAACCCAACTGTCACAGTGATGTCACTAGCTCCATTTGAGTGCATTGTGTCTGACATTGCATCGCTGAGTGATGCAATCTCAGCTTGCATCATAAAGGCTGCAAGCAGATACTATTGCTTTTATTCCTGTTTATGTAAAGTACTTTAAATTGCCACTGTGTATGAAATGTGTTTTATAAATAAACTTGCCTTGTCTAACTTCTTTACTTTGTCTTTTCACAGAGATCAACTCACATCACTATGAAATTGGTGCTAAACTGGGCAAAGGAAGTTATGGAACCGTTTTCGCAGGAACCCGTTTAGAAGATGGCCTTCCGGTGGCTGTAAAAATAGCTGATTTCAAGATTGAGCGATACATCTTTGTTGTAAGTAGTCTGAGCTCTTTGCTCTAATTAACTGTGTTTATTTTAAACATGTCATATTAAAGGTGCTGTATGTAAGTTTTTGACTCTTCTAAAGCACAAAAATATATATTATTTAATATTAAAAAGATATTTTAGAAACATGCTAAGTAAACAAAAGTCAGTTATTTTCCTTTAAAAAAATGTGTCTGTCTTTGTTTTGTTCTTTATAATCTGCCCACTGCTTTTAATGAAATACATCAACAGTTTTAACTGGAAATAACTTTTCAAATGATCTGATCAACTTTCTTTCTGTCTTTCTTCTAGCCGGGGTTTAGCCATCCACTTCCAGCAGAGATTGCTCTGCACTTTCTTGCAACTAAAGGCCCCAAGGTCAAAGAACTCGTTCAGCTTCTGGACTGGAAGGTGGAGGATAACCGCTACTTTATGGTCCTAGAGCGGCCCATACCCTCTGTGAGCGTAACGGATTTTTTAAGAAGCCACAGAGGCAACATCGAAGAAGACGTGTTGCAGAAAATCATGTTCCACACAACAATTGCAGCTGACACATGCATCAAACGTGGAGTGCTTCATCGCGATATTAAGCCTGACAACTTGCTGATGAACCCGCAGACCAATGAAGTTAAACTGATTGACTTCGGGTGCGGTGACCTCCTAATGAAGTACTATTACACAACTTATTTGGGTAAGTAAATCCCTCAAAGCTCTGAGGAGCTCTTGTGATGGGTCAAGGGTCATTCACATGAGACTCTTGAAACATCCATTGTTTTTTATCTATACCAAGGGTGCCAAAGCTCAGTCCTAGAGGGCCGGTGGCCTACAGAGTTTAGCTCCAACCTGCTTCAACACACCTGACAGAAAATGTCTCGTATACTTAGTGAGAGCTTGATTAGCTCGTTCAGTTGTGTCTAACTTGGGCTGGAGCTAAACTCTGCAGGACACAGATCCTCCAGAACTGGGCTTGGGCACCCCTGATCTACACTGTTGTTTACATTTTCTGAAGGAAATTTAGATGATGTGCTAATGGAAACAAAATCTCTTTCTTTCAGGCACATTCCAGTTCAGCCCTCCCGAGGCTAAAACGGCTGGCTATTACTATGCTGAGCCAGCGACAGTGTGGTCACTCGGGATTCTTCAGTATGTCCTGATGTTCAAAAAATTTCCAGACAACCATGACCTCCTCAAGTTGAATGACAGAAATTTACACCAACACGGAAGGTCAAAAGGTGAGATCTTTACTTCAGCTAAAGATGGTTGTGTAGGACATTTTTAATGTCAATGAAAAAAGCATGTATAAACTTTAAGGTAAAATTTACATGTATCTCTTCCTTTCTTTTTCTACACAGAATGCAGCGATTTCATCAGCGGTTGTCTGCAGACACTGCCCTGGTCTCGGTATAAGCTGAATGCACTTCGTGCCCATGACTGGTTTAAGGTAATTTTGAGGATTTTGTCATCAGTCAAATGAATCTGTCATGAGCTGAGTTTCCATCCTAATGTGAAGCACATCTTTTCAAAGTTCACTAAATATATATATCTTATAATTATAAATGTGAATTATGAGCAAATGATTTTCATCAAGTTGGTCGAGCGGCTGAACTGTAGTATTGGTAACCTCGTAGCCAACGGTTTAACAAGGGAGGAATAATTGAGAAATGCTCGCTACATCAAACTTAATTTGACAAATGCATTTCCTTCATGAACTCTTTTTCACACGAGTCCAAAATGACCTCAAGTGAGCATAAAAACGTTTTGTGAATTAAGGGATTTTTATTTGAAACTTGTTCCTCATGTGATACTTAATAAAAGGTGCATTAACACAGGCTGATGGAAACCCAGCTAATGTCAGACGACAGTCTTGTGTTGTTAAATTTCCTTTTTTTAACAATTTTGTTTTAATTATGTTACAGAGAATTGTAAAAAAGATCTAGCATTTGACAAAGGACCACTTCCAGAATCTCCCAGTTCAGTGCTGGATTCGGCTAAAAACTCCAGCAGCTCCAACCAAAATAGAAGAAGCTGAGGATTTTGAGCCAACCACACCACCATAGTCCTTTAGCTAAACATAACTTTATCCAGAGAGCTGAACATAGTTTGGTTCTGCAGTGTCATAGCTCTTATTTCAACATTTACACTGGCTCTAATTAAAATTCATGTAAATTACAAAAATTATAAAATATGATAAAGCACTTTACAGTTTAGACCTTCATATAGTGTATACAGCCCTTCTTACACTTTAATATCAGCTTTTGCTTTAACTCTTACACTTCCACATGCTAAAATAACATGTATAATAAAATAATAAATAATAAAAAAAAAATCTCAGTCGTTCCCAGTCCAGGTCCATATATTTTGGGTGTCACTCTCTAAAAAATGTAATTTGAGCCAGAAGAGAGAGACTCCTGACCAATGATTACTGGGATCAACTGATATATATACAGGGTTTCCAATGAACATTATCACTCACCAGCCAATCTGGCCACAAAACTGGAAAAAAAAAATTTAAAAGTAAAAAAAAAAAAAAAAAGAATTATAATAATAAAATTAAAAAGTGGAATTATTTTAATAAAAAAAAAAAATCAATAATAAATAAAACAATAAAAAAACTGCCCATATTGAAATATAAATCTATAACTGGCCATGTTTTTGACCAATCAGAAATTCTTCTAAAAACAACAAAAAAAATAATAATAATAAATAAATAAAACATTTTTAAAAAAGTAAGTTATGTTATTCATTACTCATCCTCATGTTCATCTTCAGAACTATTTTTACTAGTTTTATCTTTATCTTAGAGCTCCCTCATCCAGACTCAAAGTCTACAAAAACCTCCTCAAAACAGATCATATGCCTTCACATAAAACAAACTTTATTCAGTTTCTTCTCCTCAGTGTGATGATAGGGCATGCGTTCACAAGCACTGTGCAGTGACATATACCCCACTGGATGCCTGCGCGACTTCCTCTCTGACTTCCTCTCTTAAAAAATACACAGGCGCATCCAAGGTTATATGTCAGGGCGCAACACGTGAACGCGTGCCCTATACTGACACTGAGAGAAGAAATTGTTGAATAAAGTTATTTTTGTTTTATGTGCATAAAGTTCTCATAGTCAGGAATCTTGCTGTCTATGAAGGATTAAGGAGCTCTCAGATTTGACTAAAAGATCTTCATTATTTTCAGTCAAATATCTTCATTTGTGTTCTGAAGAGGAATAAAGTTACGACCTTTAGTATTTGCTTTGATATTGTCCTCATATACAGCCTTCTTTAGTCTAATGTTTTGCTAATGTGCTATATGATTGATGGTTGGAGGACATCATTTATTGACTAGTGATTTTGTATGTAGTTGTAGTTTATGGTGAGTGATAATCCAAACCCTGTATATATAGGTGGCGAAGTCCGTTCCTCCACGTGGTGCCACTGGAAACTGCCCATCTTGAAGGTGGTGCTGAGCTGAACACGGACAAAAACTGACATTAGTCTGGGGCGACAAGCCTCACAACTGATGACAATTATCAAATTTGTTCTGAAGTTTGAAATAAAGTCACATTTGTCAAAAATAAGTATTTCTTCTCTTTTTTAAAGGATAATTACTGCTGATTACTGTGTGTTTCAACTGAGATCATTCAGGGACAAACATGACAATGTTTGTAGATTTAACAAAGATTAGCTGGATTTAATGTCACTGAGCTGAATGTGTTTGAAGTAAAAGCATACATGTGATTGCATCTGAGAACTAATGCACTGTAAAAATGCTTTCCGTCCCAGCCACAACCCAGCATCATGCTGGAAAACACTCATAAGCCGCTTTTCCACTATTGTGCTGAATCGTTCTTCAAACAGAACTGTTCCATTCCGTGCCAAACCGGGCCAGACAGCACAGATACAGTTTCATTTTCCACTGTCGTGCTGCAACAAAGCTCTTTAAAACATTACACAAAACGCATCAGTAGTTGCCTTGGTAACGCAATGTAAACGGCTCCCTTTGTTCAATTAAAGTTAAATAAGAGCCGAAACTACATATATATTTTTTTTTCATAAAAGCGAAAGCAACCATGTGACTAAACACTGTTATGCCGCTCTATCAAATAGGGGTGCTGAATATAGGTACATGTGCACCTTTATTTATTTATATGTTGCGCAGCTCTGGCTAAATTTTATTTGGAGGGAAAATTACCAAAATGTAACGTGATGATTGAAAATAATTGGAGGGGAAATAAATTATATTTAAAATCTCTGAACATAACAGAAAAATAAACAATGATAAGACAACAATAATAGTGCATTTGCATTATAGTGGCAGAAATATAATTTTGGTCAGGCCTTGTCAAAGGTGAGCAGGCACTTTCACTAATAAAAACACAGCACATAAATATTTCATTTTTAACAATTAATTAAATTACACTGCGTTTTTATATCAAAAGTTGATAATGATATAAAATATACTACATTTTGATGGTAAAATGAAACCAATTAAGTGATGGCTGTTATTTGTTTTACTATTCAAACATTAAATAACGAATGCAGCAAGTGAAATAAAAAACGAATATGAAACAACACATATATTGCAGGATTTAAAGCATTTAAAGCACTATTATATTTAGCAAAATGCTGCTCTATTATCTTTTTATTTTGATCATTTTATTTTTATTATTATAATTATTTTTGTGTTCATAATTAACTAACAAGCTGTAGGCGAATTATTGCTTGACGTTTTAGAAACTATTTGCGTAGCTATATTAAAGATCACCAAGAACTAAAAAACAAAAACACAGAAACATGTTACATGCCTCATAAATGTCATATAACTTATGTATAACTGAATCATATAATTGCCTATAGCTGAAATGATGAAAATTGCTCATTTTATTTTTATAAAACATTTGTCAAAACGTATTGATTTTTTGAGTAAAAGCAATACTGACATTTAAGAATCCATATTTATTTAATTAATTCATTCTTGTGATTTGTTTATTAGTGCATATGCTATAATATAAATCATACAACAGTACCTTGGACAGTTACAGTGCCGCTCCGAAAACCTTTTAAGCAAAGTCTTTTGGATGGCCGACATTACAACACGCCGTCCTTCAGGTGGTCTCGCCGGTATTAACAAGCTGTCCTGGCTTTGAAGTAAAAAGTGCAATTATTTCCTCGTTGTTAAAAGAGTCTGCAAGTTCGTGTTCCATGGATATAGTGATGTTGTTGTGGAATTTGGACATCGACGATGCTAAGCGTGACTTTATTCGCTTAATTCGCTTTATTCGAATAAAATTAAAATTTTTGCTGATTTCCGCTGATTGAAATACAGCGCTGTGTGCAATAAACTCACATTCAGGCAGGTGAAGTAGGTCTGTATTCAAGTCAATAAAATGATAACTTTAATAAATAAAAAATCTTCGTAAGAATGTGATGAGATATTCACTTCTCTGCCAGAGACTGCTCTATGGTTTTAAAACCCTTTTCAAACTGTATCGTTTAGACCTGGATCATTATTTTATATTAAATGTAGTGTAGTTTATTGAGGATGTCTGATGACTAGCGCTTCTGCTGAGCCAGCTGTGGTAGCTTAGCAACCGAGTCGCGACGTCAACACACAAAATCTGTCAGCACAGTTCAGCACGGTTGTCTAACTGTGCCGAGAATTCCGCGCCGAGAACGGTTTGTAATCGTGCCGCGCCGTTCCAGGTCAGTGGAGAAACAACCGTAACCCTACCGAAGTGTCCTTAGAACGGTTTGGCACGATAGTGGAAAAGCAGCTATACACTCTCATTCACAAACACACTCATTCACTACAGCCAATTTAGTTTATTCTATTTACTTACTGTATACTGCATGTGTCTGGACTGTGGAGGAAATTGGTGCACCCGGAGGAAACCCACACGAACACAGGGAGAACATGCAAATTCCAAACAGGCCCAGCCAGGACTCGAACCAGCGACCTTCTTGCTGTGGGGTGACAGTGCTGACTGAGCCATCGTGCTGCCCCTAATTCTAGTTATATTATATTATGTTGTATTATATTTTATACCATTCTGCCAGCAAAGGGTTTGCTTCTGCTGCCTCACACTAAGGGAAAGCCCCGCAATTGACTGCTGAAGTTTTCTGTGTGGGGTGTCTTGATTGCCATGAGATGAATCTGGCATCCCTGTAGACGTAAAACACAACGAATCATCTTAGTGTTTGAATTTGTATTCTTTGATCAAATGTACTTTTAAGCTTACCACCAGTTGCCCATCACCGTGACACCACTTCATCTGTGCAATGTAAGTCTTTAATTCAGCTAGTCTTGCACTTTCTTCCTGGAGTCTCTGCCAAGTCTGATAAACAGTGTTATGCACAAATCAGGTATAAACGTACAGATAGCAGCAGGCCAAGTTCACACCACAAAACAACATAAAAACCTACCTTCAGAAATCTTGTGAAAACTGACCGATGTAGAGACTTTGTTTGTGGTACCACCACATTGCATGCAATGTAAGCAATTCCACCGGTGCTGTAACAAACAAATAGTACTTCAAATAGTACGTTAAGACCTAAAAAAAATAAGAATATTACAAACACTTTGATTACCTGCTTTGGACATGTACATGTATTTGCTTGTGAGAGGTAGCTATTCACTTGCTCCACCTCCTCCCCGGTAAACCTGCTCTTTCTGTTTCTACCACTCCATTTATTCTATGTACAGGGGTGAAGACATGTACTGTAATAAAATGTACATACAGTTTGTTGTGAACTTCTCAAACAAGTCCAAAAAAGCAGGGAGAACTTTCGATATCTTTAAAGCAAAATTGAAAGGAAACTCTCTACTGTACAGCAAGCACTAAGTTTTTATACATTTTACAGACAGTGATTCATGTAGGTGGGGACAGATGCAAATGAAGTGTTGTTGTCGGCAGGGTAAACTGCCTTTTCAGGCCTGATCTCATCAGCATGTAAGTCTGCAGAGTGGATGATAACATTATGATGGCAACTGGCATATAGGTATTAGAAACCTGCCCAGCTACTGACCACATAAAAGGGGTTTCTTCGACCTGAAAGTTTCACTCGAAGACAAAGGCACAATTGTAGAATAGTATTTAAGGAAAACCTCAAACACACTGCTTCATTGTGTGACAACATGGGAAAATCAACAAGCCAGAATCAACAAAAAAGCCAGATTACAATTTGCTAAGTTACACTGGGAAAAAGATTAATTTTTGGAGACATGTCCTGTGGTCTGATGGAACTAAGATTGTTTGGCCATAATGACCAGTGTTACATTTGGAGGACAAAGGGACTACAGTTTAAAAGCAAAGCTAAAAAATATACCAAGAAAATGTAGGTAAACTTTTAAAATTAATTCAAGAGTTCACACTTAGCTGATGATTGATAATAAGACTAGTTTGGCGTGCTGTACCGGGAGAGAGCCCTGAGCTTAAAAGATCCTCGAACCCTGGGCTCCCTCCCGTTGCAAGGCGAGAGGGGAGTTTGAGCTCAGGTAG